GGTGTCGGAGGCACTACGAATGACCACCCCTGCCTGTTCAGCACCTGCAGCGTGTGCACCAGCTCATTCTTCATAGATATGCATTGTGTTGCGCAGGCAATGGAGAAATATCTTCGCTGCAGCAAGATGGCGGCAGCAGCAGCGGAGACAGCGCAGGCGTCACTAACTATGTTGCCAACGACAAAGACGGAACTGGCACTCCAGTTGGTCTTTTATACATCCGCTCTTATTGCCTTTTCCTGATCGTTTTGCACATTGCTGACCCTGCTGAAGTCTTGCCCGCCGGTGCTGTGGTTTCTGCTGTGATAAGTATTACAACTGCTTCTTCCGTTTGCGCCAGGTGCATCCGGCTCTGCGTGGAGGCTCGTCAGGCGGAGGAGGCCTACGTGGCCTCTGTGCAGGTCTGTATCTTGTACCTTCTCGGGCTTGCTTCCCGTCATTATATGTTTGCGTCTATTTCTTTGACTAATTTTGGGCATCCTGATATATCTCCCTTTTGCGTATTTTTCTTACATCAACTTCCTTCTCTTAGCTGCTCCCCTTAGATGCTTAGGCAACCGTGTACGTATGTGCCTTACTTGCATTTGTTCTTGGTGCCCCTTACGGTATCATGTACCTCGTGTATCCAGGCATTCCTATAAAACTTTTGGCTGCGTGGGTCCCGCTCTATCTGAGCTACTGCAACTTGCGCTGGTTGCGTTTTCCTCTCTGTGGTCCACGTTTCCGTTTTCCTCATCTTCTAGCTGCTGCTTTCTTTGCTGGCAATGCTCCTGCAGGCCTTGCAGCAACGTAGCAAGATGACACGAGAGAGGGTGCAGAGTATTCTTTCTTGCCTGGAAGAGATGGACGTGAAGCGTATGCAGTGCCTCCGGGACGCCTTGACAAGGGCGGGGGTCTTTGTAGCAGCAAATCTCAGGCACATGCAATACGATTTAGACCGCTCCATTCAAGTGGGCTACTGCTGGGGTTAAAGCTGCTGGCGCTGCGGCTCGAGGTGCACTGCAGACTGTTGCAATGTTGGCGTCCGCTGTTCCGCGATGAGCTTTTGCCCTTACGGCTGCTTCCGGGTCTGTTGTTGTTGTGAGGGCATCTTGCTGGACGAATGGATGCGGGCTGCTTTTGATGCTGCAGAGTGTTGAGGGANTGTTGTTGTGAGGGCATCTTGCTGGACGAATGGATGCGGGCTGCTTTTGATGCTGCAGAGTGTTGAGGGAGTCGACCCCGAGAGAGATTTGCAAGATTTCGTCGATGACCGGAGGCTTCAGACGCCACCGCGGCTTTCTCTACCAACAGTTGTCAGCTGTTACATCCTCTGTCGGTGCTGCAGCTTCTCAGTCTCTCGCTTCACTTTTCTCGCTCTGTCACCTCAGGTCGTGCGCTGTTCGTGGCCATCTCGTTGCTGCATTTGTTACCGTTGTTTATATTTCTCGTGCAGGAGAAATGGACTGTCTTAGAGGCAGTATACGGAGACAGCCTGCAACCTGCTGTCTGCAACGCCAATGCCAACACTACCGCGACTCCTCTCTCCTCTGCAACTAACGTAGCGCGGCAGCTGCTGCAGAAGTCCGCTCTCCAACGAGTAATGCAGTCTGCTGCGGTGAGTGGCAGCCACCTGAAATCGGGAGGTTGCTGGTGCCATTGCTGACCCGTGCTCTGCGTCTTGTTTCTTGCAACATCAGTTGGATTTGTACACATCGGCAGCTGTTGCTGCAGTGCTCTGGTTGACCCAATCTGCCATCCTGAGTAGATGAGTCCCCACCGATGTCTCCTCTTGAGCTGAGCCGTACATACACTATTGTGTTTTTGCGGTTGTTCATTGCTCCGCAGAGCCTTGCCGCATACTCCATTGGAGTTTCGGATACTGCAGCCTCCGAAGAGGCAGAAAGACAAACGAGGGGGCCGACTGCTCCCGTCCCGGGGCTTCCGAGCCCGCCGGACGCGGCTGTTGTACAGAGACTCCAAGATGAGTATTCTGAGTGCGCTTACGTCGGTGTCCCTGCTGTGCTAGGTCGTATGATCACCAGTGCTTTCTCTGCTCCNATTCTGAGTGCGCTTACGTCGGTGTCCCTGCTGTGCTAGGTCGTATGATCACCAGTGCTTTCTCTGCTCCTTTTGTTGCTGTATTTTCCGGCCAGTTGCTCACCATGTTGCTTCGTGCGTTATAGGTTCATAAATGCGCTCTGGACCCCTCTCATATCAACACCCAGCAAGGACTCAGTGTTACCTGGAGAGGCGTGCTCTTTGCTGCTGCGCAAGATGCCTGTATTACAAGAGGAGATGACTTCTTCATTACATAGAGGCACTTTCCTGTCAGCTCTGGTGTCGATAAAAAGGAAAAGAGCTCGGGAAATGCCAGACAGACAAGCGTTGTTGCCTTCCATGTAGGCAGCTCCAGCACTGCTGTAGCGTCTATTTTGGGCGTTGTGACTTACCCCGGTAGTGCCCTATTTAAATGCAGCATTTACCTATCTATGCCGTTCAGTGCCGCTACTAGTGTGACTGCTGCTGCGTCTCCCGGGTGCTGCGGCTAGCACTTGCAGGTTTCAGCGTGTCTTGATGATGCTTTTATCGTTGTTTCTGTATATGGGGGGTACTGGGCGCCAATCATGAGGGCAGAGTTCTGGATACCATTGAGACGGCTGAAATTTGTCCGTTTCAGGCTTCAACTGCGGCTGCTGGGAGTCTGCTGCGATTGGCTGTTGACAGCGGCAGATACGCAGC